CAAAAACTCTTCCTTTGGTAACTGAGTGTTACCTGGGCTGAATTGTGTTGAGTCCTGGAAGCTGGGCTGTTTATTATTGTTGAAATACTGCTGACTGATTGATTGAAGACCAAACAAGGGAGGGAATGTTAGTAGTTCTACTGTGAATGCATACAGGTTTCTGTTTCTGTAACCCTCATCCAAATTAAATAAAGAAGAATTCTGCCATTCACTTCAGAACAGTCCTTTGTTCAAGCCAATGTGCCTTCATAATTGAAGCTGAGTTACATTATATTTTTTTTTTATACTAAAGGGATCCCTCATGCACCTGCTGTTTGGGATTTGGATCTTAAACTCTGTTTTGGCAGAGCATAATGTCAACAGCAAGCAAAAAGATGATGTCATTATGATGTGACCATTGACTTGGAAGTTAATTGAAGATATTGCTTTCATAGACAACACAAAGTGATATCCAAGCCAAAAATTTCATGTCCCTTGTCATTATAAAAAAGTTTTCTCAGACTAATGAGACCAGCTGTTCCTATCCACCCAGCTGCTCCCCACCTTAACTTACATATTTTATATATCCCAGAAGGCACTTAAAATCTGCAGCATCACTGTTGAGTTTATTGCACTATTAACTTAAAAACTGCATCAACTGTTGTGTGGTATTTAAGTAGAAAATTTACTGTGAAAGGTTTATTCTTGCAAGAAAAGAATATCGCTCTCCTTTGTTAATATTCTAGGATACATAAATGCAATTTAATTTATTTTTGGTCACCAAAATAATTTTTTTTTTTTTCACTCATAAGATATTTGCACAGCTTCCATCTGTAACTGGTCTTTCCAATGCAATTGAAAAATGAAGGCATCAACATTGAACATACAGTCTTTCTAGCATAACTGGGCACTTAGGCAGAGTCACATAAATAAAAGTTACTAGGTTAAGAATGAGAAAAGAATGTTATAGCTATAGGGGCACATACTTACAACTGTTTCTGCTTTGTTGACATAAAGCTTTAATACCTTTGCCTTATTGTACTTACTACTTTATTACTCTATTAGAGAGTATCTACTAATATAGTCCTGCAAAATTTGATTCACAGTGTGAGCTAAATTGGGACTTTCAAGTCAGATTTTGAAAAAGAGAACGGAGAAGGGATACTCCTCTGAAAAGCAGTTTTGATATACAGCCTCTTACTTGTGCGGTGCATGTGTGAACTTGTCTGGTTAGCCATGCTAGGAAAAGCAGAAGAAAGATGCATGGAAACATGCCTTACCCCATCTTATTAGTCTTTAGACATTTGAAACGTGTGGATGACAACAAGGAATAAGAATCCTGTCTTTCTGCAGAAACTGAGTCTGAAAATGCATGCACACAAGGAAACATGAAATGACCAGCTTTGAGTCCCAAAGTAATGAAGTTTTAATCTAAAATATTCTGTAGTGGTAAGTCTTGCACACTCACCAATGAGTGTAGCACTACCATACGCAAATAACAAGACTAAAAAAAGAATGATTTTTTTTTTTTCTGAGATGTTCCAAAACAATGTTGATTTATTCAAGCACAGTAGATGTTATATAACCTACAACATCAGGAAAAAGGTACAAGGAACAGCAAAGCACAAGTAAAAGGATTATACACCATCAACAGTAGATGTAGCAGTATTCTCGATGAAGTATTAACTTTTGGGTTTTTTTCCTAGGAGAATTCTTTCCCTGTCCTTACTCTTTCAGCAGTATTCATGGGATAATTAATCATTGTAGTTTAAACTTTGTCCTCTGCAGGTACAATATACGGCTTTCAAAGACTCACACTAACCCATGTTGTGAAGCAAAGGGCAAGACTTAGTCCTGCAGTGCCACCCTGATTAATGACTTGATTGGTATTCCTTCTTGTACTCAAGGGGAGTGGTAGCCTTTGAATTGGACATTGAATTCTCATAAAGTCTTGTATTTATTTTGTATTTGCAAGAGCGATCACAGACTTGGCTAGCTGCCCTGAGGACAGAGGACTCTGGAGCAACACACAAATGGTTGTACTTTAAACATGAGATGGTAGAGTTTTACAGAAATAAATACCTGTATTGCATAACACTGCAACGGTGTTTTCAGAGAATTTTTTTTTCTTTTTTATGAATAGATATGGCATGACTTCAAAGCTCACTATTAGTGTTTCTACAGTCCCAATCGGAATGTGCTTCAGCCTCTTTCTTTCATTCTCTTCTAACTTTCTTCTGTTGGCTTTTGTTGTTATTTAGCACTTCTTTAGAAAAAGTCTAGCAAATATTTTTAAATACAGTAATGTATGTGTGGAAAGTGAATGCTGCTCTTGTTAAACTGAAAATTCACACTCAGAATCCTAGTTTTAAGTACTGTAACTCTTGAACTTAGGGCATCTATTGCTAGAGAATATTACCATTATTATTATTAATGTGGGAATGATTTATTGTCCATCACCATCATAGCTTCCAGACAGTGAAGCAGAGCATGAACTATTGGATCACTACTACCATGTTAGTGCTAGGATCTCATAGCATTCACGTCGTGATCTCTGTAGGATCAGGAGGTGAAGTGATCAGGAGGTGAAGTGACCACTTCAGGGTGACAGGATAAGGTCTTGTATAATCATACCATCCCTGCACAACTGTACACATTTGGTATGACATACTGTCTGTGGGCCCCTTTGAACTTAGGGTCTAGGGCATGAGTCATGTGAGCTTCTGCTCCAAGATGTCACCCTGATGTGGTCACTTCACCTCCTTATCCTAGAGATAAGAAAGTGAATGCTATGAGATTCTAGCACTAACATGGTAGTAGTGATCCAATAGTTCATGCTCTACTTCACTTTCTACAGAGGCAAGCCATATTGTGCAGGGGTTGGAGAGGGATCATGTGCATGTGTCCTGCTTAGCAACAGGCAAGACACTGGTATCAAGTAGCTTTATACATCTAAAAGTATCCTCAGTACCAACATCAGGTGTAAATATTGCTCTGGCATTCACAATTCAACACTTATGCCCCAGGCTGCCCTGGATAACCTGCTGCAGGTGAACTTGATGCATCTCGGACTTCTTGTACTCTGTCTCCTGGTCCTGTACCCTGGTAACATTTTTCCTTTCCCAGCAAAAAAGTTGGTGAAAGTGGTGGGCTTAATCTGTGACTATATGGAGGCACTAGTTGAAGGTAGGACCATATGAAGGTATACTATACTTTCACCTAGGCCAAAATCTCTTAGGTCCAGATGGCTCCTGCAGCAATCACAATAGCAAGGAAAAGGGGTAATAATGAGCAAAGAAAAAAATACTGACCTACCTTACACAAAACTCCCTGATTTTATCTTTTGTAAAACTTTAATAGGAGCATGATGGTACTATAATCCTGTTATTTTTGCTCTCTGCCTCATGTAAGATTTGACATTATTGCACCCAAAACTTTCCCTCATTGTTCTATATTCTGGGTCAGCAATGGACCATGCCGGAACAACCCAATAGCAAACTGCTTCACAATCAATCCAACAGGCTACAGCTAAATTCTTAACTAACATTTAACTGGAATCTAGAGTTGAATCCTAAATTCTGGTCTTCCAAACTAGAAACTGATTAACAAAAGAGAAAGGAAAGGTGCAATTCAGAAAATATTTTATTGAGTACAATACCATTTCATTGTAGGCTTTCGTCAAAAGTCTACTTTATAAAACACCACCACCAACCTCTCTGAGGTTGAATACAGCTTGGGCAGGTGCACAAGGAATGGGAGAGAGAGGGGCAGCATCTGCAAATTTTCATGCAAGCAGCATAATATGGAATATTTGCATCCAGACAGTACCTTGCCATAGTGCCCAAGTTTGCACCATCTCACGAGAAAAAAATTAATGAATCTACATTTAAATTTTACAAAGGATTGTAACAATCAGTTACAAGTTCAGATTTACAGGGTGTTGCCATTGCATGTTCAATGTGTAAACTCAAGATCATAAAATGAAAATTAAGAGCTCAGAATGAAAGCCCTATAGTAAGCCTTGTATGAAAACAGGACTAACTAACTCCAGAAACTTATGGCTAACAAGAAATCATAACTCCTGTAGACAAGGAGAGTTGTAACTTTTTACCAATCCACTAACATCTAGCTTCCATTTTAGCAGATGGAAGACCATAAAAGTTCCTGGAATTCTAGTTAATTCCACAACACACAAGTGTAATAAAGACATGGCATCATGGTTCTCAGAAGGAGATTAAATAAACAGTAGTCCACAGGCAATTTTCAGTTGCATGAGACACCTGCTAAACTCATATAAAACAACCTTTAAATGGGCTAAAAGTGTGGTAACATCTACATTAATGAATTTGCTGCTTACTAGAATGTAGACTAATGTAGACACCAGAAAATGGTGCAAGTGTTTGGTTTCAGCAATGGCAAATCATAAATATGCTATAAAATGGAGGAACAGTCATAAGCAACCTTTAAAATGTCCCTATATTGCTTAAATTCTTCTCTCAACCCTCCTTCTTCATGAAGTAGATTCTGAGACTGCAGGAAGTTTTCAGGTTGACTATATTTCTGCAGCTAACTCTGGATTTTATGAGCTGGTCCCCACAGAATCTTTAAGTCTGCCATGAAACCTGCACTGTACTGCCAAAGAATTTCAGGAGCACTTGTTATAACATTAAATACAAAGGTAAGTATAGCAGTTAATATGTCTTATTACACAGAGACTTCCATTGTCCCTTGAGTGTGCATGTGCCAACATGTGTAAGTACTGCCACTTTATCAGGAAATAACTTTATAAAGCAGATGGAAAAATTTACCAACTACAATAATATTTTAAAATTAAAAAGAAAATTAAATCACATTCTAAAGCAAGAAAAACAGAAATGTAGAGTTTAGCATATCCATTAGCAATTAAAGGAGAAAGTCCAGAACAGTCCAGAAAGGCCAAAGTATTCAAATAATTCTGAAAGGTTCTGTTGAAATGAATTTCTTCTTTATTAAAAAAGACAATGCATTCTCAAGAAAGCATCTTCTGCAGTGAAATAATTTAGTTTCTTCATATAGACACATCATACACAATGTTAACAACCATGAAAAACAATACAAAATGCTTTCAAATTTAACAAGTAGAAAAATATAACTAGTATATATGGCAATTGTGAATCTAATACTGTACAGAAGTATTTATGGATTTTTACAAATAAATTATAGCTTAAATGCCCTTTTTAAAATTTCTAAATGTACACTGAAATACAGGTTCTGAAGCTTATCACTAACTTGCCACAAATGAGTGCCAGTCAAATGTTCTGCCCACAAGCTCAAAAAATTTCTTGTTGGGTTCATGGAAATATTCATGCAGTTTCTCAAGTAACTGGATATCTACTTGTGGGTGTGCTCGTCCTTTTGACTCATGTAAACAACGCTCCCTACCACTGTCCCTTAGGCAGTAGAAGCCTTTAGTTTTATTGAAATAAAAGTTTGAAGCATTTATCTGTGGTGATAACCTCAAAAATCTCTCTACCTTCTCTATTTCTGGGAAGGGATCTTTGATTAGTTTATCCCCATCTACAATGTGGATATGATCAAGAGGAAAATACTTCAGCCAGTTTTGCATGTGAATGTAGTATAAGCTTCTGTTTATTGCCTTGTAGTCCACATTGAGTTCACCATCTTTAACCAGGAATTGTTCAATGGATGGATACGGCTTGTGCTTCTGCATGTGATTATAGAACACTTGGGTGTAATCTGATAGTACTCTCTCACTTGGGTCTCTTAAAATAAGGAGTAGTCTCATTGATTGGTTCATGCTATAAACTCTTTCAGGCACTTTAGGTGATGTGAAATATGCTGGAGTTTTTTCCACGGTGATCTGATGGGGATAAGAGAATGGCATTTGGTTAATATACCACTGCAATCCATTTCTGTAATGATCTTCCCAGTCAAAGAAGTGAACTTCACTTTCTGCTGCTGCAATGTCTGGATGGAGACTCAACATCTCTAACAAAGCTCTTGTTCCACCTTTTCTTACTCCAATAATGATAGTCTGTGGCAGCTGCTGGCATGATCCATTAGAATGAATGTTTTCCTTGAAGTCATTTTTTGGAGATGTTTTCTTTAAAAGCTCTCTCTGAACAGACTGAGAAGTTGTCTCAGCCTTCGAATTTATAGCTGGTCTGGAAGGCACTATCTGAGGCTGAACAATAAGCAACACAGCTCCCAGCAGAAAAGCTGCCATGACAGAAGTTCTTAGTCTGGTTTCACTCAAGCAGGTAATGGGGCATAGAGCGATTTCCACCGAGAACAACCTTTAAAAGTTGTTTTTGTTTTGCTGAGTGAATGTGTATTTCTCAAATGGAAACTTTGCTGAAAAAGGGAAAAGAAAAAGGAACACATTATTTTATGCTCAGACATATCACTACTAACACCACACTCCAAGTATCTTTTGCTTTTCACAACTAAACAAACTTCTTTAGCTTTCTGAACTCTAGGCTCATAGATCATCTGGTATAAATAAATTCTTTAAGATAGGCACATACAATAACGTCATGAGAAATTTATTTCCAGTCATCAGGAGACATGAACATTCTGAATCTTTCCCTTGCACCCAAGATTCATCCAGAGTTGGGTTTTTTTTTTTTTTGTAAGAAAAACCAGATTTTAAAAATCTGATTTCATTGGAGTTGAACCACAATCACAAGTGAATGCAGTGCTTTTTTTAATCTGTAAAAATAGGTCTATCTTAGAAACAAAACATAAAAAGGAAAAGGTGTGGACTGGACCAAAGGAGCATTCCTAAAAACTGAGATTCTTGTAGGAAGTCTGGGAATTATAGCCTCCTAAAGGACCATGTGACAGCAACCCAGAAGTAAAGCCTCCAGGGAAAAAGGCTCATGCAATATGGACAGAGCTGCCCAATCATGGGAAGAAGTTAGGAAGAGCTCTGAATGAGTAGAAGACCAAGGAAAATTTGAATCCTTGTGTCATCTGTAAGTGAAGTTAACATTTGCTTTGTGCTCAGTCTCTAAAGATGGAGTCAGGTGGTATGCACTCTAGCCCTGCGAAAAGGTAAGATGGTGAAACTTCCATATGGTAGTCCATAGTATGACTGCATCAACAAAATGCTAAAAGAGCTGTGGTTCCAGTCATGACATTCTGGAAAGAAAATACACAATGCATACTTCTGAAGGTAATTTTCAGAGTTAGCCAGCAAGCTGCTGTGATGTAAACAACTAACTTCACACTTTATCAAAAGACTACTAAATACTACCACTGAACTCCATTTAAAGGTCAGGGTGTTTTTAATGCAATGTTTGAAGTCTTAATGGCCTCACACACAGCATAGCTATTAGATTGCAGTGTTGAGAGCAGGCTGTGTATACAAGCTCCCTAAATTAGGTGCCTTCCAATGACCTGATAACCTCAGTGGAGGGCTGGTGTAAGTCTGATTTTTGGTATTGTCTAACTCCATTTAGAAGTGGAAGTCATGATGGCAGAGCACCTGACTGCTTTTGCCTTAGTCGGCTACTGTAATTATGAATTTAAGCTTGGAACAGCATGTACTGTACCAGCTAACAAGGGCTAAAATATGAAATTACATACGAACAACCTGAGGAAATGCAAGGGCTAGGTTTTGGAAATTCTCCAGGGAATCTGAAAAGAAAGTAATGACTTTTCCACAATAAGCTAAGTCCCAGTGTGACAAGGTCTAATGATGTGTTTCTAAGTGATCTAGAAAGTTCTGTTTGATAGCTTTGCATTTACACAGGTCATGACTCCATCCTGAATGGAGCAGGTCTGCTTCCTGATGTTTGCTACTGATTATTACTTTTATGCTTTCCCTTTTTCTAATCACTTTTAAAGGCTACAAAAGCAGTGATATTGTTAGGAAGCAGAAATCAAGGCTGGGAGGAGAGGGAAGCAAAACATCATGATAGATGTGAAATCAAAACAGTATGTGCTTCCCTGTATGCCTACAGGCTTTGAGCTCATGGGCATGCCCTGCCTTGGGCTGAAGGTCATGTCCTGGGCTGTTCTGTGACATCTGATGTGAGAAAACTTTGGAGAGGAATTTGTTGTTCTTCCATTTTTGGTTGCCTAAGTTTTACCTGGCTGAAAGAGCTCCATT